AAATAAATAAATAATAAAAAAAAAACAGAAAGGTAAACCACTCAATAATTAAAATTATCAAACCTCGAGCATTTGTTGGGATCTTGCTTCTCGCTCTTTCCTAGCGGCTTCCTGTTTTTCGTTTCTTTCCATTTCTCTCTGTATACGTGCTTGTTCTTTTTCAAGACGAGCTTGCGCTCTCGCTGCCTGTTGTCTTCTCGCAACTTCTATCCGTTGTTCTACTGCGAGATTCGATCGCATCGTCGCTTTCAATTCTTCTAGCCTGTAATATTCAATCATTAAAAAAGAACAAATAAATTTTAATAAACTCTTAGTCTACACGTTGTTTATTTATAGATACTAATGTAATTATAATTTTCTCCACCTCAGAAGGCACCGACCCTTGAATCATTGAATTGCTTGAAAATAGTACTCCTTTACTTACTTTAGCAAAATAAATAGCAGATAAAAAAACATGCGATTTTTATAGTACTCGCCAATGCAATGATGTATAGCATCTAACATCAGTAACAAGAAAATACTAATTTCACAATGTAAGTTCTATGTTGTTCAAGAACAAAGTTATCAGATCAAACGGTTGACAACCGTATTCCTTAACTTTTTTCCTTTCTCTCTCTGTCTCTTTAGGCGCCAACTCTTTACATATTGCTTAAGCGTTTCCGTAATTTTTATTTCATATTGTTCACAAAAAACGGTTTATTTTAAAGTTAAATAAATATTACTTTCTTTTCATCCATCATATTGAAAAAATGACCATATGGACCTCAAAAGTCGTACATAATTACTTGTTTTTCTATTTAACGAATACTTTTTTTTATATATGAATGTGTAATGTAAATTACCTTTTAATAACATCTTCTTCACTTAGTTTAATACAATCGGTTCCTTCAGTTCCCATTCCTACAGGAACCGGTTGTAAGTAGTCCCCAATGATAACCCGACTGCTGAATGTGAAATTTTCTTTTGTTAAGTCTGGGACCTTATGATAATCTAAGTACTAAGAAAAAAACAATTTCTTTTAAGTGACAAAAAAGAAAATTTAGGTAGAGAGCCGTTTTACCTGAGTAATATCTGACATTTGCCTAAATTTGTTAGATGAATCGGGGGCTATGTATGAAATGTCCCCTTTTATTGTTCCATTCTTTCCAAGGCCTCTAATTATAGTTTCTCGTCTCCAACCTTTAAATAAAATTCCATTTAAAACAAATTACAACAGTTCAAAGTTATAATCAAATAATTAAATTGCTTTATTTACCTTTTGCTAATGGTACCCTTAACATATTCTCATCGTATTGCTTTTGCTTCTTAAGCGTAGACAATGGCTCTGCTTCTATTTCAGAATCAGTATGATTAGAATCGGTATGATTATCAGAATCTGTAGAGGCATCAACGGTACTCGAGTTGGAGTCGCTCAGAGTACCCTTAATTTTTTCCTGTAATAACTTATTAAAAGTTTTTTCGTCACCCCCTACCTCTACCATTAACTGCTGGGCTGCCAAAATATTTGATTTTAATAACGATATTTGCTGATTCATGGACGTATTAGGATCTAATATTGGCATAGGCTTTATGCCTGAAATGAGAAATTGCGAATTGTAAAGACAAAAATGAGAAACGCATCCAATAGTAAACGTATTTCATATATACTGAATGTTATTTATTCGAGACGGGGGTAATAGAAAATATTATTAATGGTCAAGGGGTACGAAATACAACTTTTTTTTTTAATAGAAAACACATTTTTGGAACTATAAAATTATACACTGGTCTATAAGAAAAATATGTATGTACATACAATTTGTTTCAAAAAATAGGGCTTTAAGTTTACTATCACTACTCTACATTAAAAGATTACCCAATAAAAAAAAAGAACATACCTAGAGCTCTGCTTTGTGCTAACAAGGAAGCTACGGTGTTCTTTTTCGGCTTACTAACACCTCGTCCAAGGTTCCTGGGCCGACCATCTTTGTGCATGGGAATTATTGAAGCAGAAGAAGACAAGGTGGCAAGGGAAGAAACTGTGGTAGTAATAGAATTTGTTGTAGTTATGGTGGTAGTTGTTGTTGATACAGTTGTTGTAGTAGTACTACCGCTGTAAAATTGAATGATTTCGTCACTGCGACTCGGCGGGCGGGGAGAATCCGCTGTTGCAAATAACTGCTGCAAGGAAGCGCTTGGAGCACCTGGAGGTAGATGGGTAGGAGCCTGAATTACACGACGAGGTTTCGGACCAGGTTTCCTTCGAGCTATAATTGTTATTTGACATGTGCACATCGTACAACCAGATTTTACTGCATTTCTAAAAGGCAATAACAAAACGAAGTGTGAGAATTTTGTACTTACATATCCTGTCCATGCCAATGTTCGCAGACATATTGCTGAGGGAATTGAGCGAAGAACTGGAGAGGTTAGAGGACGATGTGACTGCAGGTTTCAATGATAAATTAAGGGGTGCATCAGAGGAACTATCTCCAAAACTAGAGTTAGTTGTGAGAGATAACGGCGAGATACCTGGACTACCGTTCGTTGATTGTAATTTTATGACTTCAACTTTATCGTTACCCAAAACGGAAGGCGGTGTGCTGCTTGGTTCTTTCATTTCTTGATTAAATATCTTAAAAAACAATGTACGAAATGAAGTTAACAAACAAAACATGATCATATAAATATATTCAAAATGGCATACGAATAATTAAAATAAAACTTACATTCAATTTCGGACGTTTAGCAGTCTTCTCCATACCAAAAATGCCATGCGAAGGATGTACACTAACACAAGGTGGATCCAAAGAAATTGTCTTTTTTCGGCCCCTATTCGTTGTGCCCGGTATTTTTGGACCGACTATAGATGAAGTGTATTTGATAATTTCCGTATCGGGCGGAAGTCTAACTCCACCCAGTATTGAATTTGGATCACTAGGAAACAAAAAAGATGTTCCATTGTGAAGGCGAGAAACGTCAAAAATGCACTCAAAAATATAAACTAGTAATCTTTCCTACTAAGCAGGTAAATAAATTTATGAAAGTACTGATAATAAGCGATAAATAACTGACAATGAGTCAAGTTTAAAATAAATTTATCATTCATTTTAAATGATAATAATTACCTTGTTCCTTCTAATGCTGAACTAGATAAAGAAACAAATAAATAATGTGAGAAAAGCTATTGTTTGAAGATGATTAAACTTCTAAGTACACAATAAAAATTGGCTTTTTTAACATAGGAACATACAATAAATAGGCAACATTTTAAATGTTTCTAAAAATGCTACCTATTTTCTATTTTAAACGGTAATGTATTGGCTGTTTGATGTGGAAAATTAATATACGATACGAATTCAAATGAAAATTTGATTAATGCGCCGAGTTTGATGGTTCGCTAAGTATTTAATTTTGTTGCCATTCTATTGAAGTCTGTCAACAAATCGAACCAAAGCCAGGAATCATTATTGCACTGCAAGTTTTTCCTAATTACCAATCTGGTTGACAAAGTCCTTTGTAGCTCATCCCGGAAAACACAACATTTTAAATTTTGCTTTTCTATGTACGAACATTAATCTTTTTTCTATTAAAAAGTCGGATTTTCATTGAGTATTGAGATTTACAAAGAAAAACTGATAGTTTTTTTTTAATATTTACCTTAAAATACTAGGTGGGAATCCAGAAGAAAGGCCTGGACTTGGAGAATTGTTAGAGTTAATACTATTCTTATCTATGTTATTGGCCAAACTGAGTGGATTGGTAAAAATACTAGCGGTTGAGGGTGATATTTTTGGACTTGAACTTTTTGGTTTCTCTACATTTTTTAGATAACCGTATTCGTTAACTTTGGATGTTCTTCTATCGGCGTTACTGTTACCACTGCTACTTGTTATGGTACTAGAACTGGCACTAGTTGGAATTCGCATACTGGGCTGTATCGTTAGACCAGGATTAGAAGGCAGTTTTGAAGAAGACGAAGCTGGAATATGTATTTCGTTATTAAGTTAAGAAAAACATGTACTGTGTTTGACAAAAAAAAAGTGAGTAAGCAATTTGTAACACTTGATTCTAAAATTTTCAACTTATATTTAACTTTATGAATATATAAAATCCATTTTATTATTTAAAATTAAGGTTAGAACAATTGTCAAACTGTTTTCTTAATTAGTTGTCTCAATAATGTGTACAAAACAAAACAACACGAAGATGTTTTTTGTTTTATACATTTTTAAAGGCTACTTTGCGTTTGATTATTGCTATTGTTATTGTTTTGTGGAAAGTAAAACGAAGTCGTTAGTTTATAAACGCAGTACAACATTACAAGTAAAAAAGTATAAAAAATAATATAGATAATGATTGTAATAATTATTTGTACCGATAAAAACTACCTATTATATAAAAAATGGAAAATAATAAAACTTACCGCAATTACTAGTTGCAGTATTATTTCTACTAGATGGCATCGGCGTATTAGTATAAATTGACTGCTCTGTCCTCCCATCATTCAATTTCATTGAGCTTGATGAATAATTGATAGAATGTGCGGGGGTTTTTTGCGACTTTACCAACGTATTTCCGACAGATGACGATTGATGCTTTGGCAGTGAAGCTGTGGAGGATAAAGTTGAAGAATTTTTCGATGTCTTAGCCTTAGGATAACCTGTGAGAGAGGACAAGGATAAGGGTGAATAAGGTAAATCGGCAGGATTTGGTAAACCAGGAAAATTTAGACCTGAAGCTTGCAAACGGGCAAGGTAGTCCTGAGCTGCCAAATGTGATGCCATGGACCACCATGCAGCACCTAAACAAAACAAAAAAAAATAATGTATATTTATTTCCAAAATAGACTAATATTAGAATTAAATTAGTTAAATGTTTTATTAAACCTGGACGTCTCGTCCTTTTTTGTTATAATTAGTAATACAGGTGGAAATAAAGAACAGGGCCTACAGGTCTCTGAATAGGCTTAGGTTCAGTTAGCCAATAAGTCGTGAGTTTTACGAGTAACTGCAATTATTCAATTATTGTACACTTACTGGCCGCGGGTATCCCCAAACTCGCGGCTTGACTTGCTGCAACCGATAGTGTATTTGAGTAAGCATTGCTATAGACGGCTGCAGCGCTTGTGGCTGTTGGATACGAGGGCATTCCTCTGCTGGAAGTTGGAGGCAACATTCCGAACGGTAAAGAGGGATGGGGTGCCAGGCCGTATGCGCCTCCCGTGGCCGCAAAAAGATTGGCCGCGTTGGCAGCCGCAGCTGCTGCAGCTGCACCACTAGATTCGCTTCGAGGCCAATAAGCTGAAAAAAGAAATAGAATCTGTTTTAACTAAACACAGATTCAAAACCGCAAAAAAAAAACATCGCAAACAGTTCAATTGAGTATATTATAATTAAGTAATAAGAGTTATATTGTAATTAACTAATAATGCAATTATTCCAATGAAATAATAATTTTCGATTACTTTACACAGTAACAAAAAAAATTAAGTTGCGCCAGGAAACTGAAAGGAGCTCGATATTCGGCTGTGGTCTAGAATTGGTTCTCCTGGTGAGTCCACCGATGGAGTCGTTTATCCTCAGGAAAGCAGCGCGCAGAGAAGAGACTAGTGTGCAAAGATTTTTTTATTGTCTCTTCTGGGCAAAAAAAAAATCGGTAGCCGTTATACAAGTTTTGCAGTGTATTTTTTTTAAACTAACTCATTTTAATAAAATTGTGTTGTTCAAATTATTAATTACTTCTGTGGTTTGAAATGTACAGAGAGAACCTTTTAGCGCTATTGTTATTCCGTCGTCGAATGAAAAGAAACTGATTTGGGTTCATCCAATTAATGAAAGAAGATATGAGGTTCTACACTCTGTTTGATCAGTTGAGGCAAAAATCAGGAGCGGCAGAAAATATGCTGTTTGCTTAAAAGTGCATTTGTTTACTAGGCTAAGTTTAAGATGACGGTAGGCTGCATTAACCAATCGGGGGGGGGGGTCGACTAATGTGTAGGATTTAATGTACATCAGTGGGGGGGAACGGTGGCAATAATTTCTCCACTCCAAAAAATTGCCGTGTGCACTACCGCAGGGCTATCTTCTATTTCTTTGTAGAGTTTCTAACTCACTCCATTTAGAAAATACTACAAATGGCGCAGAGAACGCCATCTGTAGCACGATGCTACATACAGACCACTTCGAATTATTTCACTTCTTTTAGATTGGACTTCCTATAGTAACGAGGGTGTAACATCCCTCGATGTGGATCATGAGCTTCGTTATCTACGTCTCCTAAAAGGATACCAACTACAGAAGCTGGCAGGGGTTGTACAAGCGGCATACCGAAAGTAAAAAACCAATACTGGACATGACTATTAAGTCCTCTCTAAATAACGCCGGCCGGGCAAATCATAACCTCTGCACCAAGACCTAATTTTTAGTTCCGTACGTCCGAGTGAAAAGCGGAATCAATCTCTGTCCATCTGTCATAGTCAATTTGCTTCAAATATACTGGACCCATTAAGTTGAAATTTAGTACACATACGAATTTCTGAGACCTAAACACGGACGCATAAAGTAAATAAATTAATTTTATACATGGGGGTTATTCTTGGGAGGTCAATAGGAAGTTTAAAAAAAAGTTTTGCAAACTGTACCGTGTGACATATCGAATGAAAGGGCTTGTTGTAAGGGTCTCAAATACTTTTTTTTTTATAATTTTAAAACAAACAAGTTTAAGGTCATTAAGAAAAGAGATGAAAATTGACCNCCGCCCTCCTTATCTCCAAAACTACTGAAGCTAAAATTCTGTTAATTTATAGACTACAGGAATTTGCAGTTTGAATTTATGGGAGAACATGTTTTTTTTTTTTCGATCTACAATGTTAAATTCAATGTAATATGAAGTCAAAGAATCTCAGTACCACAAAAATTTAGAAAATCACATGTAAGAAATGCTGTAAAAAAAGTTTTCTAAATAACGGGCCTAGATATATAAGTAGTTACATTGCGCAAATGAAAACTTACAATTTCCTCATTAAAAGCTTTAAACGTTCAACAAAATCTCTTAAATAAAAACACAGACGTTTAATTTCCTAAAAGAACTCCGTTTTCTTTCTTCCGCGTAGAATTGTGGACTGTGCTTATCTAAATTAATTGCTATAAGTTCGTTCGAAATATTAATTATACAAATAACATAAACCGGCTGAATGCACTTTTAAACAATAAAAATACATATACGTACGTTCTTACTTGACCACTTGCAAGCAAATTCTTCGAACCCTTCGATTAAAATTATATAAAAAACAATAATTTTAACCGCATACATAAAACGTTTACGAGTTAATTGATATTGAGAAACGTATTGTTCGTTGTTTACCATGTGTGGGTAGATGTACTGATTTAATTCTTGCTATAATTATTGTTAATTCAAACGTATACAGCTCGTTAGGTAACATTGGACATGCGTATACACCTGAGTGAAATATGAAAATGTTAACATACTATTGGACATGGCACCCACCATTGAATGTCCAGATAGAAAGCAAAATTCATATTATCTGATAATTTATTAAAAAGTAATAGTGAACCCGCTCAAACTTGGACAGATGGATATCGTTGTAAATGGAGCATAGCATTTACATTTTAATCAAGACAACCACCTGTACCTTAGCCCAGCCTAAACCCGTCCAGCATAGCGTATCACACTATCCAGTCAGGAAGCCCTTATCCCCATAATCTAACTGAAGTCCATAGATCATAGCACTTTTCACAAGCCAATCAGACCCACACATTAACATTTAAACATGCTCAATACGTCAAAACATTGGCGAATTTTAATTAAAAATCACATTAAACGAGGACATCCTGGATATTGAACGTAAGCTATTTAACAGGTTGTATTCTTTTACAAGATATTTTACGTGTCAGCTATCGTAATCATTCCAGAATAGATGTAGACCTAGATTAGGTTACTGTTGGCAAGGATGTGGGATGTTCTAGTTTTAGGGAAATGCGAAGATTAGCTCAGGATAGGAAAGAGTGGAGGTGCGTGTCCAACAAGTCTTAGGACTGACGACCTTACGATGATGATATCAAAATCTTCTTAGAAAATGTTTAAGAAAACGTGCCAAATGGCATTTGAATGCTTCACACATTGAAATGCATACTTAATAATGTATGATAGGAAAAGGCAATACGGACCAAGTGAGTGTTGTCGTGATCATATTCTCTTATTTCACAGTGGTCCAGTTGGCCACTTTTCGGTGTCCATTTGAGCTATTTTTTATTGTTGTATGTGTGTATAAATACCTACTAATTCTCAGGATCTTCGTTCGTTGCTCAATTGGGAGCATATACAAAGACCACGCATATTCGGTAGCCAATTGAGTTATGCCCCTCGATATAAGACATTTATCTTAGTTTCGCAAACATAACACTCTAGTCCATCATCGTATATTAACATTTACCAGTAATAAAAGCAGACAAAATAAGAAACAGCTTATACTGTAATGTTTCTTGCAAATAATATGTATGCCTAGCTATTTTTTGCAAATGACAAATTGTAGCTATTTTTTATAATTTTAAAGTTTTGAAAAGAAATTTCGGATTTTGCTGTACGGTATTGTAATTTACTGAAGACATTTATACATTTTCCAAAACACGTATTTTATGAAAGTGTTGAACTGAAGTACAATTAACAGTGAAAAGTAAACGCCTTGCATATCCACAGAAGTTCTTTTGGAGGCTTCTAAGACAGTGGGATTGTAAGCAATAGGTTTATATGCACATCTGTATTTGTTTGTAGTGTATTGATTGTCATGTTGTAAGGGATATTATCAAACTAATTGCTGAACTGAAATACAATTATGAGGAAGTAAATATTATTAAGCTATAGCTTACTTGGCTTATAAGTTAATATGGATTTGCATATACTATTTTGATTGCTACAATAAATTGTTTTCTAATAGAATTCATGTTTGTTTTTCCTTGTAATGGATACTTTTAAGAATGCTTTTTTGAATAGTTTTTTGTAAAAGTCATTCTATACTTGGGTTTTTTCTTATGTTAAAACAACCATTAAAATTATTACCTATACTATAACCGATAAGTGCAGTAGAATCCGCGGTAAAGGTTCAGATGATGACCCCCACCCCCGAAGGGGGTGAGACCGCCACGAACTTTTTATGGTACAGTGGTAGGGGAGACCACCTCTTTCGATCCCACCCAGCCCCAAAGGGGGATGGGGGGCCATCATCTAGGCATTTACCGAATCCGCTTATAATGACATAGAAGGGAAATGACAAACGCGTCATACTAACCAGGCGTCATACANTCGAGGCTGGATTCGCGGGAAAATGGGTAAAAATGCCATTCTTTTAGCGACAAATTATGATCTTCACTGTATTTTTCAACTTCACTTGTATTTCGAGAATTGTGCGAGTATGCTATGGCACTTTTCCAGCTTAACAGCACTTCAATAGTTTTTCCCTGATCGTCTGGACTTGCGATAAATTGTGTAAGTTCTTTTTCTTAGCGACAAATTATGGCCCTTATAGAGACTGAATTCGCGACAAAATACTTCCAAATATGGTATGTGTAGTGCCAGCTTAACGGTTCTTCAAGAGTACTCCACTGTAGTATTAAATGAAATAACTTTTTATTTAAGTTTAAGAAAAAAGGTCTTCAAATACAATTAGCAGGTACAAAATACAAGAAACCAAAAGTACGAAATATAAAAAAATAATGCAGGACAAATAGAAAATGGCATTTTCCAAACAGAATCTGTTTGTACGTTATTAGAATAGAGGTACGTGATTTTCCGCTGTTTGGCAAAGTTGGTATAATAGAGCAGGCGTTGCTTTAAGACGATAACCTACTTTATTCATCCGTGTCTACATTTTAATAAAAGGCAGAGAAAAATAACTTACCAAACAAACTTGCAGCATCCAGTAAAGTGTCGGGGGCACTGGAGATTTTATTGGAGCTTGAACCACCTTCTGTTTGTTCACCATTTTCTTTATCCATCGCCCCCAAAGCTCTAAAAAACGAAAAAATATCTTTAATAGAACTGGAATGAACACGGCACTTAATCAGCAATTATATTTTTATTCTTACCTTCGGTTAATCGTATGATCTACATAAAATAGTAGTCAGCCTTTTACACAACGTGAATGTACAAGAAAATGTGACCGATTTTATGCAGTAACAAGAAATTACGGTGAAATATACAAGTAAATTTGACTTTCACGTTTAATTATGAACTGTCAAAACGGAATGTTGTGTTTTAAATTTTACGAGTGAATGAAATCGAATAATTTCATCAAAAAATTTTATTTTCCAGAAGATCGCGTTGGCTAGTTAGACACGTTGTTGCTCAATTGCTTGGATGTTTTATTTTATTTCAACGTACGAATGTTTAGCTTCTTTTACTGCATAAAAGAAAAATAAAGTGTTGTCTTTAATATATTTGGAAGCAATTAAAAATTTGGGTAATCATATACTTTCACGGTCACCTGCTTTTTTAAGGATAAAAAATCGAAAAAGCAACTTTTTTGCATTTTTTTTTCAAATTGTTTCTTTTGACGGCGGATTTATATAAAAAAAAAAATACAGAAATTGAAAAAAATTAATAGTTCTTATAGCATTATAACTTTGAATGCTTAAAAAAATGCACTTTATAACTATTTTCTACGACACAAAAATCGGAAAATAATTAACAGTAGATAAATTAGAATAACTGACAGTAGAACAGTAGTAGGAAGGTGCTAGGGAGGAAGGTATTGTTAAAACTGTTATTCTACTATTTTCTTTCATAAATCAGCCGTAAAATAGAACATTTTTGTACCAAATTCATATATTTCTAGCTTTTTAATGGTCAAAAAACCAGATGCATGCGACAATGCATAATTACCAAATCTTGAATTCAAGTTTTTTTTTGATTACCTATGAAAAATTGAATATTTCAAATTTTTAATAAACAAAGTCATGAGCAAATTACAGTATTTTTCCACGCAATTTCTATTTGAAGATATATTATGTGCGAGCCTGAATAAAATATTTCCAAATATGTTATGTGCAGTTTTCCAGCGAGTCTAATAGTTTTTTGCTGATTACCTCGAGGCTGGATTCTCGGAAAAATGGGTAAAAATGCCATTCTTTTAGCGACAAATTATGAGCTTTACAATATTTTTCAATGTCACTTCTATTTCGAGATATGTGCGAGAATGTTATGGCAGTTTTCCAACTTAACAGCATTTCAATCGTTTTTCCCTGATTATCTGGACTTGCGATAAATTGTGTAAGTTCTTTTTCTTATACTTATAGCGACAGAATTCGTCACAAAATATTTCCAAATAAATGGGTAAAACTTCCATACCATCTTTCAGCAACAAATTATGACTCTCACAGTATTTTTCAACGTCATTTCTATTTCGAGATACGTTATGTTCNATAATATGTAATATTCTACCGTTGGTTTGTTCGGGTGTATGTGTTCATCACTCAGTTAGCCATGGACAAAACAGTCGAAATTTTCATTTTCCTCTTAAAAATTATAAAAAAAAATGGCAAAAAATGTTTGAAATAGGTTTTCTAAAATTTTATCCGATATTTAACGCAGTTTGGAAAATAACAACGAATGAAAAGGTTTTTGTCTTGTAATCAGATCATACAGATTTATCTCTTTCCATAACTTAATATTCTACTTAGAGATATGTTATGTGCAAGACCGAACTCATGACAAAATATTTTTCTAAATATGCTATGTGCAGTTTTCCATTTTGGCAGCCCTCCAATAGTTTTTCGCTGATTATCTCGAGGCTGGATTCGCGGGAAAATGGGTAAAAATGCCATTCTTTTAGCGACAAATTATGATCTTCACTGTATTTTTCAACTTCACTTGTATTTCGAGAATTGTGCGAGTATGCTATGGCACTTTTCCAGCTTAACAGCACTTCAATAGTTTTTCCCTGATCGTCTGGACTTGCGATAAATTGTGTAAGTTCTTTTTCTTAGCGACAAATTATGGCCCTTATAGAGACTGAATTCGCGACAAAATACTTCCAAATATGGTATGTGTAGTGCCAGCTTAACGGTTCTTCAAGAGTACTTCGCTGATTATATCGATCTGGACTCTCGATAAAATAATAAAGATAAATTTTGCTATGCCATTTCTATTTCGAGATGTCATGTGCGCGCCTTCTATTTGTCAATGATCAACTGAAGCGACAAATTTTTAGAGTTGGTGGCAAATTGGCGAATAATTGTAGTACAATTCAAAAATAAGAAATATGTATACCTTTGTCATGCTGATATACTATTTCTTTTTTCGCATTCGTTGAACATTAAATGTAGAGATAGCATAAACTATTTTTATACTACATTTATGTCACAAAACTCGTTACAACGAACTTACAACATAACAGTACGAAAATAATAAGACTACGGTAATTATTAAGTTAACGGTTAGCTATTACGTTACCGTTACAATCACATAATTTGGAAGAAAAAACTTTAAAAGTTAAAATGGAGATATGCTGATCAATTAAAAACAAACAACGATACCGTTGATTTAGCAAACTTTCGCTTATAACTTTGTTTTTTTTTTGTAAATAGATACATACAGATTTATTTAATAGTGGTCGAAATCGAAATGGGTTAAGATTTATTGAAAATAAACAATAAAAGAAAGGTATGAAAATACAACTGGAGTTTTTAAATTTTGACATAGGTAATTAATTTTACTCCTTAAGACTTTTAATTATTTTTGCATCAATAAAAACTTTTGCCTACCTATAATATTGAATGACGCCTGGTCACCATCGAGAATTTGTCTAACCCATATCCGGAATTCTGTAAACAAAGAAAAAACTTATTTAGGTACATACCTATAACATGCATACTATTATATTTACAGTTGAATTTTAATACAACTTTAAACAAAAGAACAATTATTGTTTATTGATTACTTCTAGTAAATTTCCGGAAAGTTTTAGGTTTTCTAGGTCGGTCGACACTCGACACCCTGATTTTATATGCATAGTTTGAAGGATTACAAAAAATAATTTTTAATTCTGAAACATTAAGTAAGTGTATTATATTTTCATTGTATTATTTATGTAATGTACAATACATGTTTAATACATATAGTGGATTTCGGGTATAACGACAACGAAGCGACCACTGTAATTTCGTCGTTATATCCAGAAGTCGTTACAGGCAAAGTTAAGGGAGATACACACACTTTTTTTCAATTTAGAAACAATTTTCGCCTTTTTTGAACAGTAAATGTACATCTGGAAGTCACACTTACTCAAAAGTTTCCTAAACACAGTTGCTAGTCACTACTTGTGTGAATGTAAACAAAAGATAAGAAAGCTCTTTGTGTCTTTAGCGGCTGACTTAGGTCGCTATATCTGCATGGGATCACTAGGGATTTGTTAAAAATTATTCATTAAAAACAGTCGCTACACTCGAACTAGGCGTTACATCCGAAGTTGCTATAACCACATGAATTTTGTGCTAAAGTGTGCTTTAAATTCAAGGGACTTGTGTGACGTCGCTATAGCACAATGGTAGTAGCTATAACCAAGGTCGTAGTTAATGAAATCCACTGTATCTTAATCACAAAAATGATATTATCAACAGTGACAGCTTATGTATAAAAGACACTGACCACCCTATTTTCATTTGGCATTATCGATAATAATATTTAATATAATGAATACGTTTTTCTTTGTAATACTGAAGCTTATTATCAGTAGCTACTCCCAAACCTATAAAAATGATACACCAATCATTGTTATTTTTTGAAGTAACACCCTCACTAATTTTAGCTACGATTTCCAGTGATTATCAGTATATAAAGATTATAAATTTTTTTAGTACAATTTCAGTCTTACGATTTGTAGCCGTAAAGTTTTTTTCCTGAAAAATCACGTGTTATTTATTATTTGTTTAACGATTAGTGCTAGATAAACCTTATTAATACCTGACCCGTGCTTATTAATACTTGACCCGTGCTTATTAATAAATTAAAGAGCACATGGGCGCTATTTATAAATTTTCCACATGCTTCATATTTAACTGAAAGAAGGTCATTCTACGAGAGGTAGGGTACGAGATCGAACTTGACCTAGACTTCAGCGGAACGGCCTCGACCTCTTACTTAGTTCACTGTCTCTATCAGTTTGCTATACTTTTTCATTATTAAGGCCGTAGCTNTGCAGGTACCTGCTCAAGTCTCTACAATAAATTGTCTTGCACTCTTTTGAATTGTATATTGTTTACGTATCAGCTATCATCTTGAGAGTGACCGGTCAACAGATCAGAAACAGATGTTAAAACTAATAAAAATAAATGTTTGAGTTTTGTCCATGTTTTTATAAATAATTTTAGAGTTCCGTCCTTTTAAAAGGAAGAAAAAACGCAACCCTTATGAAATAAGAGTCAATTTTCAGAGAAACATAAAAATTGGCATGTTGGTAATCATAATCGTCATCATAAGGTCGTGAGTCCTAAGACTGGTTGGAAACCTACCTCCACTCTTTTATAACCTGAGCTAAACTTCGCATTTTCCTAAAACTAAAACAATCCACATCCTTAACTATTTGCGAATAGTAATCTAATCTAGGTCTACCCCTCCTAACTCCTGTTTCTGCCTCTAATATGTCTGACTAAACCTTCATGTCTGAGAAGGTGTCCTACCAACCTATTTCGCCTATTTTTTATTGACTTCCACCATAGAGTCCTCTATTCTCCTATTCTTTCTAATACCTCTTTATTTCTAACCTTTTCTACCATCATCATCGAAGGCTTCTAACCTATTCTTTTCCGCCGCGCTCACTGTCCATGTTTCGCACCCGTACAACGTCGCGCTTCAAACATACATCTTTAACATCCTTTTTCGAATTTCTAAATAAACCTTTCGCTAGCATAGAAGTGACTTCTTTTTATTAAAGGCGACTGACCCTGCGCTATCATCTGCTTTATGCTTTATATCCCTACTACTCCTTCCTTCCCGACTTATCTGACTTCCTAGATAGCTAAAATCAGCCGCTTCTTCTAATTTTTCGTCTCCTATCTTTATATTCGCTCTTTCCCTACTTTTTCTTCCCTTGCATACCAGTATTTTAGTTTCACTTTTATTTATTTTCATACAGTACTGACCTGTCAGTACCGCTTCCATTTTTATTTTGGTAATATATTTAATAACCCGCATATTTTGTTTGCACTTCCTGGCGATTTTCATGAATATTGTTAGAAAATTTTGATAACGAATACATTTTTTGGAAATGTAATTGCTGTAATATTATAATGTCACTTTATCTAGATCTCTATAATATACTTACAATAGCATGATGGAAATGGTATATATGTAATTTGAATACACTTATAATTAGGTATAAAAACCGACTTGTACATTTAGCCTATATGAATACAAATGTATCGACCGAAATTAACACGTTAATCACATCCTAATTTTACACGTTTAGAGGTAGAATATTTTCTTCAAATTTAAATGGGGCCACCCCAAAAATATAACATACCTAAACAATAAACAAAGAACCGCGAAAATCTGTTCACAACTGGCGAAGAAATCGTGTAACACCCAAAAAAAGTACAATCGAATTGAGCACCTCCTTTTTTGAAGTCGGTTGAAAAGAGACTCACCCCAATTAACCACAACAAACTTTCTGAGCGGATACGTGGTTTACGTTGAAAATGCTTCCATTTAGGCGGGTGAAATATCACGTGTCCGCTCAAATAAATTCGCTGTGGTTAATGGGGTGAGCTTTTAAGCTCGAAAATAAAATATTCTAAAGCTGGTTTAAATACTTCATACATAATATGTAATATTCTACCGTTGGTTTGTTCGGGTGTATGTGTTCATCACTCAGTTAGCCATGGACAAAACAGTCGAAATTTTCATTTTCCTCTTAAAAATTATAAAAAAAAATGGCAAAAAATGTTTGAAATAGGTTTTCTAAAATTTTATCCGATATTTAACGCAGTTTGGAAAATAACAACGAATGAAAAGGTTTTTGTCTTGTAATCAGATCATACAGATTTATCTCTTTCCATAACTTAATATTCTACAATTACATTTCTATTTTAACGGCTAATTATAAGATGAAAGTTACAAGCGCACCTGCAATACGATAATTTCGACAGATATAGTATTCAAAAATTACAAAAAAATGTGCGGGATTAATTCGGATGTATATTTGGTTGCATACATTCTAATGAAATTAATGTTTGACGTATATTGTTGGTTGCATATCCCTATGTATACGTAGGTATAGAATATAAAATTTTATACGAACCGACAAGGATACCGTTCAAATTTAGAATAATAATTCAAGATATGTAGTATTTTACTAGAAACTCGTAATATTTTTCCTATGCAAGGTCATTTCAACTTTAAAATACTGTCACCCTATCTCCGTGGTGGACAAATCATACTTTCACTTTCAATTGTATGTAACAATTATACAATTGTATATTACACGAAAATTGCATTTATTTGATCAAAATAATTATAATTAAATAACATAATTAACATAAAATGTAGGTATATAATGATAACGTTTGTGGATTTTAGAATAATTCCTTGTTGAAATGTGGGTAAAAATACAAGCAAAAAAAAAGTATTTATTTTGATACGTCCAGGAATACAGGTAAGGCAAAACTATCATCGAACATAGAAACTACACATTTCTTTGTGGGCATTATTTCTATTTATATTGTCTCACGATTGACCACGTCTTTAAAATAACACTAGCTTCTCTAAACATTTTCCTAAACCAACCAAACTCTCAAAAACTTTTGAATTTTGGTCCGGGAAAGTGTAAAGGTCATGTTACACGGCGCGGTACATGGAACGTGGATCGGCATTCCAGGCGCCCGCCGCTGCCGGCAAAGAAATTAAAGGAGCCACCAGGACGCGCCTGTTCGCAACAGGCCGCGCCGAATTCGTTACACGGAGCGTGGATTGGCAATTTACGAGTCGTGCAAAATGAACTTTACACGGTACGTCAGTGTTGCCACTTCGAGGGATTTTTGACGTTCACGAGGGATAAAGGGATTTTTCCTTATTTTCGCGGGATTTTTTGTAATTTGGCATTTTCTGGTTGGTTTTGTTTGATTTTGTTGACCTGATATTATATTATGAAGGAGCTCATTTTTGTAATTGTAAACGTAAAATTTTGCCAGGTATAATCGTATAACGATGTATGATGAAACGGTTGATATACGGCACCGACGTGTGTTTAAGCCTACTGGTGCAGCCTGCAGGTACCTGCTCAAGTCTCTACAATAAATTGTCTTGCACTCTTTTGAATTGTATATTGTTTACGTATCAGCTATCATCTTGAGAGTGACCGGTCAACAGATCAGAAACAGATGTTAAAACTAATAAAAATAAATGTTTGAGTTTTGTCCATGTTTACAGAAATATTTATATTTTTTTCTTCGAATAAACGATTAAATTAACGAATTAAAAAATAATAATAGTAATAAGTTGGAGGAATTTTATGGACCTGCGCGTGGGATTTCTTCCTGTAGTAGGTTGGCAACAGTGCGGTACGTGCAGCGACGTTTGCTGCGCGGTGTGTACTGTCTATGCTAACCTTTCAGCCGGAGCATAGAATTCCAATCTACGCTCTGTGTAAAGGGGTATTCGCAGCCTGCAGCGTGAAAGAACTTCCTGGCGCGTTCTTTCTTGAGCATTATCAGTAAAAGTGGTTATCAAATTTGATCCGTGTAAGTATAAAGGTCGTATTACACGGCGCGGCGCGTGGAACGTGGATCGGCATTACATGCGACCAACACCACGGCAAAAAGAAGTCAAA